CAAAGAAGTCCCACTTATGGAGTTTATCTCATAGATTCACGTCCTTCTATAAGAAATGGCATCTGCAGAGCATTGTTTGGAATAACAAAGAGAGGAAAGCTTAACAACAAAACAAAACGACACATCCACACGATGGGATACTACACGGCTGTAAAAGGCAATCAGGATTATCTCCTTTTAAAGATTTGGTAAGATTGCTGGGGTATGTTGCCCAGTGGAAAAGAGCAAGAAGCCGAATGTGGCTATCTTTTGTGTAAGAAATGATGGAAAGCAAGCATAAATTCATTTTGTTTGTGTGAGTACAAAGAAACACTGGAAAGGAAAAAAGAAATTAATAAAAATGGTTCCTTTGGGGACAAAGGAGTGGAGCGGGTGATTGTAACGCTACCCAGTGTTTTCTTTCTAATAGAGGTTTTGTTTTTTTGTTTTTTCTTTGACTCTCCGTTTCTTCCTCCCCCTAACTCCTGGTAGCCACTAATCTTCTTTTGTCTCAATTGATTTAGCTGCTCTAGGTATTTGTCCTTTTGTGTCTGAGTTCTTTCACTTAGGATAATGATTTCAAGGTTCATTCATGTCGTAGCACATATTAGAACTTCGTTTCTCTTTATAGCTGAATGATACTCCAGGGTATGTATGTACCATATTTTGACTATCTGTTCATCTGTTGATGGACACTTGGGTTGTTTCCACCTTTTGGCTATTGTGAATAATGCTGCAGTGAACATTGGGGTACATGTGTCTGAGTTGCTGCTTTCAAGTCTCTTGAGTATATACTTAGGAGTAGAATTGCTGGATTATATAGTAATTCTATGTTTAATGTTTTGAGGAACTACCAAACTATTTTCCACAATGGCTATACCATTTTACATTCCCTCCAGCAATGTATAAGTGTCACAGTTTCTCTACATTCTTGCCAACACTTGCTCTTTCCCATTCTTTTGATAATAGCCACCCTAGTGGGTGTGAAATGGTATTTTGATTTGTATTTCCCTAATGACTAATAAGTTTGAGCATCTTTTCATATGATTATCGACCATTCGTATATCTTCTTTGGATAAATGTCTATTCACATCATTTTATTAGTAATAATAAAAAAATTCTATTTTATTTTTTAAGTACACATTTTACTGCAGTAAATGTATACATATATAACAACGTATTTGCCATTTCATCATCTTTACATGTTCAATTCAGTGGCATTAACTATGTTCATTATGTTGTGCAACCATCACCGCTATCCATTTCCAAATTTTTCTATTACCCACAACAGAAGTTCATCTAAATGTATTATCACCTTAAAACTTCCTTTTTTTTTTTTTTTTTTTTTAAGGAAAGGTAGGATACACCAAACTATGTCTAGACCCCCAATGGCCAACATTTTAGCTTCTGACAGTGAGGCTGGGAGGTTCCAAGAGTTTCGATAATCACATAATTTTTGATCACCTTACTTTACTAGGCAGGGCTGGAAAGGCGGCTACAGAGTGAGAGATGAAGAAGACCCAGGACCTGCCCTGGAGGCACTCACAGCCTAGTGAAGGATACGGGTAAGGAAATAGCTGGTGACAACACATTGTGCCAAGTGCCACTTGAGAGGAAAGTACAGAGTGCCATGAAGCTTTATGGGGACTGGAGGAAAGGCAGCTAGCTGGAGGGGTTGGGTGGAGACAGTCATCACAGCCCTCCACCGGAGGCACCTGAGACCTGAAAAATATGTAGGTGTAAAGAAAGAAGGGAAGGGAAAGAATGTACAGAGGCTCCACCGTGTAGAGAGAAGAGGACCAGAGTGTGGAGAGAGTTAACGTGCTTTGGCAAATGCAAGTTGTTCGGCATGGAAATAGAGGGAATGTATGTTAACATGACGTGGTAAGCTGATGATGCCTCTCAAAGATATGTCTACGTCTCAGTCCCTGCAACCTTGAAATATTACCTCATTTGGAAAAAAGAGTATTTGCAGACGTGATTAAGTTAAGGAGCTTGAGATGAGGAATTTATCCTGGATTATCCAGGTGGGTCCTAAATGCAATCACATGTATCCTTATAAGAAGGAGGCAAAGGTAGATGTGACACACAGAGGTGATGTGAAGACAGAACAGAGAGATCTGAAGATGCTGGCTTTGAAGATTGTCGTGATGCAGCCACAAACCAAGGAATGCTGGTCACCACCAGAAGCTGGAACAGGCAAGGAAGAGAGTCTCTCCTACAGTCTCTGGAAGAAGCATGAGCCTGCTGACACCTTCATTTTAGCCTGTGGTACTGATTTTGGACTTCTAGCCTCTAGAACTGTAAGAGAATAAATTTCTGTTGTGTTAAGTCACCTAGTTGTGGTAATTTGTTACAGCAGCCACAGGAAATGAATACACATGGAATCAGTGGAATGTTGAAGACCAGGACAAAGTGATCAGATCATGAAGGTCCTCATATGTCATATTGTGGCAGATGGTATATTTACTGCTACCAATATCTTTTCTCCCTTTTTTTTTCCTCAGAATATGGCCTCTTGGAATAAAGAATATATTTCTCAGCCTCCTTTGTAGATGGATATGGCCAAGTGACTAAGTTCTAGCCAATGGGGTGTAAACGGAAGTGACGTGGAAAGCTTCCAAGAAGTATTCTTCAAGGGGTGTTCCTTGTCTTCCTTTTCTCCTTCTACTGGCTGTAATGCAGACATGGTAGGTAGAAACAGAGCAGCCATCTTGGACCAAACGGAAAACACATGTAGAGGTCTGTAGTGCAATAAGATTTAAGTGCCGACATTTATGTAAGAAAGAAAGAAATTTCTGACCTAGTTTGAGTCACTGCAAAGATTTTATGTCCCTTGCAGCTAAATATAATACCAACTAACCTGGGTTTTAAATTTCCACTATATATTATCCTCAGTGGTTTAGGATTATATTTCTAACATATCTAGCTTCCATTTAACAGTGCTATCTCAAGCTAGGAACCCTGAGTTTAGTCTATGAATATTTTTGGTCTGCACAATATCTTTGAATGAACATCTCCTTATTTTTTTCTGTTTGTTCTCTGTCTTTCTGAGTCACTGAAAAGCCATTTCCTGCAAGCTTGATATCATGTGGTTAAATCACGACAGTACAGCACAGTGGCTAACAGTGTGGACTGCAATGTCAAATCGCCAGGATTCAAATCATGCCTCTGTGACTTACTAGCTGTGTGCCCTGAGACAAAGTATTTATCCTCTGTAAGTACCAATGTCTCCATCTTTAAGCTGAGGAAATGAATAGTCCTTACTCCATAGCTTTGTTGAGAGGATCAACTGGCTGACATAAAACATGCAGATCAATTAGCACTGTGCCTGCCTGGTCCTTAGTAACTGCCCAATAAGTGTTAACTATTAATGTATGGATGGTCTACATGTGTCTTCCATTTTTGAGACTCTCTAAGCAGCTTTCAAACATAGTCTCATCAACATACCCAAAACTTTCTGCTAAAAGTTATATGAGTACATTATATTTCTCCTCTCTACTTATAGGTACAAAGAAGTGAACTTATGTTTCTCACAAGGCATGAACATAAGTAGAAACCAGATCCTGCAGTTCTCAGATTAAAGATAATATATTTGAAAGGATTTAGTAGGTTATTCAAAGCTTTATAAAGGAAACGTGCAAACAAACCCCCTCCCCCGCTGCTGTCAAGTCAACTCCAACTCATGGCAACCCAATGTATGTCACGGTATAGCTGTGCTCCATAGGGGTTTCAATAGCTTATTTTTGGGAAGTAGATCACCACACCTTTCTTCTGAGGTAACTCTGGGTGGACTCAAACTTCCACACTTTCAGTTAACCGTCAAGCACATTAACCACTTATACCACCCATCACCACCGGTTGCCCTGGAGTTGACTCTTGCACCACCCAGGGACTCCTTAGAAAGAAAGGTCTTGGTGTTATCTAGTTTTCCTTGTTTTATCTAAATGCTAACAGGCCGGCACCATAGTGACTGGCCCTTCACTCTTTTTTATTTTTTTATTTTAGTAGATATATATGTTGTTAGTTGCTATTGAGTTGATTCCAACTCCTGGTGACCCCATGTGTGCAGAGTAGAACTGCTCTATAGGGTTTTCAACACTGTGACTTTTTGGAAGCAGATTGCCAGGCCTATCTTCCAGGTGCCTCTGGGTGGGTTTGAACTGCCAAGCTTTTGGTTAGTAGTCTGGCACTTATGTTTGAGCCACTAAGGGACATATATATGTGTGTGTCTGTATATATGTGTGTATGTATATATGTATGTTTGTATATATTACATATATAAATGTTTTCAGACATATAAAGTCATGTGCCGCATAATGTCTGTTTGGGCAACATCCGACCGCATGTATGTCCATGGTTCCGTAAGTTCAGAAATCTCCGTCGGAGAATGGGACATAGTGGATGTAACTGGATGTAGCCACCTTTGTGCCTCTGACCAACTTGTGCTTGGGGAACCTACCCTGGGCTTGACCTGTGCCCCTAGACCTCATCTTTATTGAACTGGGCAGCCTGCGCCTCCAAAGGGCCAAACGCCTTTCTGAGAGCCCCAGGGCCTCGCCTAAAGGCCCAGTCACCGGGCTCTGCCAGCTGAGCATGCGTCCTTGCCTTGTCCTTGCTCCCCTGGGACCCAACCCACCGACCCAACCCAGGCAGCAGCAAGCAGAACTCCAGGCCCTCCTGTCCATTGGTAAGGAACACTTCCACTATCTCAATGTTGCCATAAGAAAATAATATGGTGTTCGCATAACATCCAGATCACATAACGTCCTATTTCACAGAATGTATCGTTGACATAAGTGATGTATTGCTTAACATCCATGATATATGTATAAGAAAACATTTGCCATTTTGACATTTTTTGCATGTACAGTTCAGCGACATTAATTACGTTCATCATGTTGGGAAACCATCACGACTATCCATTTCCAAAACTTCCCGTAATCCTTAACAGAAGCTCAGCACCCCTTAAGCAATGACTCCTTTTTCCTCTCTCTCCCACCACTGGTAACCACTAATTAAAAAATATGGAATGCTTTCTAAATTTTCTTGTCATCCTTGCTGCGGGGGTCATACTAATCTTCTCTGTATCATACCGATTTTAGAGTACATGCTGCCGAAGTGAGCATGCCCTTTCACTCTTGTGTTTAAGTTACCATCTGCCCCTTTCCCATATGACTCCACTGGATGCCACAGTATCACCGGAGGGGAGGAAGGCTCTTTCCCCACTGCTATCATCACCCCAGACACTGATCTCCCACTCTGTATCACCTCCCACTCACTAGACTAGTGCAAAAAGGGGGAAAATGATCCCTTTGAGCATTTGCTCTTATTGGTAGAAAGAATGATGTGAGTACAAAGTACTCAATACGGAATTATATGGCTGTTCCTCTTAGGATATATTTCATGGCTGACATATAGGGCACAGAATAGCTATTAAAAGATGCATGTTTGACTTCGCATATATTGCCTCTGAATTTAGGAAGACATTTTTAAAATGAAGCAGTACTATATTTTGATGAAGACTATGGGTTCTTGAAAGGAGCCCTGGTGATGTAGCGGTTAAGCACTGGGCTGCTAACTGAAAGGTCAGCAATTTGAACTCACCCAGGAGCTCTACAGGAGAAAGACCTGGAGATCTGCTACCCTAAAAATTATAGCCTAGAAAACGCTATGGGGCAGTTCTACTCTGTCACATGGGGTCACTATGAGTCGAAATCTGCTCAAAGGCACACAACCACAATGGGCTCTCAAGTGAGGCTGCCTGGATTAAAATTCTGACTCTGCCACTTTCTGTCTCTGTGAATTTAGGCAAGTCACTTAGCCTCACCTGTAAGTGAGGATGGCAATCCTGGCCCTAAGTAGATAATATGGAGAAAGAAGAGGTACTATACTTAATGCATGTGCTTAGCATAATGCCTGCCCCCCATTAAACACTCGATAAGTGTTGGCTGGGTTGAATACTGATGTCCTTCAAAAGACAAAGTCTCCCCCTCCATGAGCAGTTCCCTAAGTACTTAGCCCTCATTTGACTCTTTGTTGTAATCCACTGCATTTTTTTAAAAATGCACAAGTCTTTCTCCTCAACTAGATTATGCCTTTATAGTTTCTTTCTTTATTCCTCTTTTTAATCTCAGGACCCCCTGCAAAGTCTAGCACGGCACCTGCATCAGTTAGCTTTTGCTGTGTAACAAATTTAACATAATGACTATTTAGCTCATCATTTTGCAGGTTGGCCATCTGGGCTGAGAGATTCTGGTCTAGGCTGATCTCAGTTGATCTAGCTCATGTGGTCAGCTGAGGGCCAGCTGGGGTGGGCTGGTTTGTCAACAGCTTCATCTGGGATGGCTGGAGGACTAAGGCCTCTCTTTATGGGTTTCTCATCCTCCAGCAGGTTAGCCAGGACTTGTTAGCACCAAGAGTGGGAAAGTTCCAAGCAGAAGCACTCTTTAAGTCTCTGCTCATATTTTTCTGTTGTTCTGTTATCCGAAGAAAGTCACATGGCCAAGCCCAGAGCCAGTGTGGGAGAGGATACCCAAGGGCATGGACACAGGGAGGCATGAACAAATTAGAGGCCATTACTACAACAATGTCTCATGTACTTCGGACATGCTATCAGGAGGGACCAGTCCCTGGAGAAGGGCATCATTCTTGGTAAAATAGAGGGTCAGCAAAAAAGAGGAAGATCCTCAATGAGATGGACTGACACAGTGGCTGCGACAATGGGCTCAAACACAGCCACAATTGTGAGGATGGTGTAGGACCGGGCAATGTTTCCTTCTGTTGTACGCAGGGTCTCTATGAGTCAGAATCAATTTGACAGCACCTAACAACAACAGCTACAACAATCTACAACAGCATCTCGTAAAACCAAAAATCCATTGCCATTGAATTGATTCTGACTCACGGAGACTCCATGTGTGTCAGAGTAGAACTGTGCTCCACAGGGTTTTTAATGGTAGATTTTTCAGAAGTAGATTGCCAGGCCTTTCTTCCAAGGCACTTCTGGGCAGATCTGAACCTCTAACTTTTCAGTTAGCAACAAAGTGATTTAACCATTTGTACCACCCAGGGACTTCTCAACACCTCATAATAGAGTTTTAATAACTGTTTACCAGTTGAATGATCACAATTTGGCTCCCTTTCCAAACTGGGTATCTATCAGAAGCCACTAAGTCTCCACTTCATTCTCTGAGGCCAGTATTCGAGTCATCTCTCCTCAAGCTCCACACTGTCAACAAGGTGTTGAGTGTCTATCTCTCTTGTTGTCTCCCTCTAAGAAGAGAAGGTGTGTCCCTTTCCTCATGGAGACCTCCAGGGATCCATTATTCACAATTCTAGAGTGTGGTTCACTTAGCTGTTTGCATGAATACGCTCCCTTGATTGTGCAGTGCACAGCCTATGCAACCATATGTGCCATTCCTGAAGCCTCAAGCAGAGTCTCTCTGGTGGATGTGAAGGGCTTCCTACTCTAAAGTCACTGCATAAGCAAGAGGAAAGGGGAGAGTTTGCACAGTTATAAATTCCTAGGAAGGTGGTGGTCTCTAGGTCTCAGCTTCATCTCCTGCATACAGAGCAGCTTACTCCAGAGACTCTCAGGTAAGTTTCTATCCAGCTCTAAACTTGTCTGTGATTCACAAAATATGAGATACTAATTAACGCTACCTTAATTGCAGAGAATGCAAAAGAAACTAGCATTTATCGAAGGCCTATTATGTGCTAAGCACTTTATATATGTTATCTCATTTAATCCTCAGTCAAAACCCCTGTAAGATGGGTATAATTGGCCCAATTTTTGCAGAAGAGGAAACAGGTTCAGAGAGGTTGAGCAACTTGCCTGAGATCACACAGATGGTAAGCAGTAGGGCTGGGATTTGAATTCTGGCCTGCTTGACGTCAAAGCACTTTCTCCTCTGCTGTGCTATAGCAGAGCCCAGGAGAGAAGCAAACAACTTGTCTATAACAAGTATTCCACTGACAATCAATGGTTTCCTACAGACAGCAGCAGATGTTGACATCAAACCTGGCTGGGAGAGAAGGTCTCCGCAGGTGACAAGGTGGGCCCACAAGGTGTCATGGACAAGGAAATAGCACGACTGATAAACTAGGCTGCAGGACAGACCATTGGCTGAAGGTTGACTCTGGGTCAAATCAGCTGTTTACTAGAGATAATAAAGCAAGAAATATTTCAGCATTAAGGTATATGGGTTTTGGCAGGGAAAGATTTGATGACTTGATGAGCACTGGAGGCTAATTTGAAAACAGCAGATATCCCCATCTATGCCTAAAATAGTAGGCTGAGTTATTAAAATTGAGTGCCTCAACAAGCCTAGAGACAGTATTATTTAAATTGGATGGGATAGAGAATGCTCAGTGCAAGATGATCGCTTTTATTTCTATTTAGGGTTGATGATGTGGTGTTGGGCCTATTCAGGCCCATGGCTGGATGTGTGGGTGGCACCTCCTGCAAGCTCAGTTGGCCAGAGGCAGCTGTCAATCCTGCTTGAGATGTCCTCTGTCTTCAGAGAGGGACTGGGGAAAGCTGGGTAGATCAGCATCTCCATGCGACCTCTTTATATCTGCATACCCCATTTCCGAATCTGCCTCTGGAATCTATGCAGCCAACTCTCAATTACTTGCACTTGAAGAGGAGAGCTTGGTTAATCTGCAGATCATTCAACGTTTCAACCAGTACTGGTGATGTACCAGTCTGACTTCAGGCTGACATCAGTGTGACAAGCTAAGCGATTGGATAGAGCCATGCATGGGTGCTATGGGCAGGGATGCAAGTCTAAACATGAATCAATTCATAAAGCATTCTGCAGAGGCTATAGTTCCCACCTGTGTGGACAGGTGAAGATGACACTGGGAGAGCACTGGCTGCTGGTGGCTCGCCACACACCCAGGGGGCCAGAGGGGCACCAGGCATTTGCCTACTAGGGTGCAGAATTGCTACCAGGGTAGTCATCTCTCTTGCCACCGTCCAGGTCCACTCTGGCTGAGGAAGGCATGTGAGAAGAGGGTGTGTATTAGCTTCCTGGAGCTACCATAACAAGCTACCACAAACTGGGGGGCTCCTAAGAACAGAAATTTACTGTCTCACAGTTCTGGAGGCTAGGAGTGTGGAATCAGGCCATGTTGATTCCTTCAGAGGGCTCTGAATTGATCCACGCCTCTCTCTTAGCAGCTGGCAATCCTTGGCCTTCCTTGACTTGTAGATGCATCACTCCAAACCTCTGCCTATCTTTACAGGCCTTCTGTGTCTCTACGTCTCTTCTCCTCTTTTATAAGCTTGCTACTCACAGACCCACCCTACTCCTGTATGATCTCATGTGAACTGATAACATCTTCAAAGACTCAATTTCCAAACAAGCTCACACTCACAGGCAGTAGGGAGTTAGGACTTCGACATGTCATTTTAGGGTACAACCTTCAATCCTAGGATGATTGGTGAGGGAAGAACTTGGTGGACCTGGGACTGCGGCTCTTTCCTGACTGTGCAGTCAGGTATGCTATGGTTTGCTGTTTTCCCCATGTTACAGCCATACCTATGTGTGCAAGTTCAACATCACGTGGAGGAGTACCTGGCCCAGCTGGGGCATTGGGGAAGACTTTCTGGGAGAGAGCACACGTATGACAAAGGTGAGATGGGCATTCCAGGAGGAGATACTGGTTTATAGAGAACCACAGAATTGGGTGGGGGTGTGATTAATAGAGGATGCTGTGTGAGGTATAGTGTAATGGGCCTTAGGATACAGGTAGGCGAAGCCTTGAATGTCATTCTAAAGTGTTTGGGATATTTTCCTGTTGGTGATGGTACACTATTTAAGGGTTTTAAGTAGCAAATAATAATATTAATAGTTACCACTTAATTAGTACTTAGTGTGTGTTATACAATGTGCTGGAGCCCTGGTGGTGCAGTGGTTAAGAGCTGTGGCTGCTAACCAGAAATTTGAAAGTTTGAATCCATCAGCTGCTCCTTGAAAACCCTGTGGGAACAGTTCTACTCTGTCCTACAGGGTCTCTATGAGTCAGAATCCATTCATTGGCAACTGGTTTGGGGTTTTTTGGGGTACGGTGTGCTAATGCTTTATAAAAAACCCAAACCCGTTGCTGCTGAGTTGATTCT